TCTGTATCACCCTAACCTCTCCTTCTGTCATCATTTCATCTCATTCTCTTACTCTGACCCTCTTACCTTTTCCTTTTTTAAATAAGGAACTTTGTGATTATTTTCTATCCATCTCAATAATCCAGAATAATTTCTCTATCCCAAGATCTTTAATTTAACCACATCTGCAAAATCCCTTTTGCCATGTAAGATAAAACCCACAGACTCCAGGAGGATTAGGGTGTGGATATCTTTGGGAAGCCATTACCCTGCCTACCATAACAGATTTTTCAGAAAAGATGGTTAATTTGATTTTAGATATAAGAGGCCTGTCGAAATTGGAGGGATTAAGGAATAGGCTGTTGGATATCTGGATTCAGAGGTCAATTTAGTTTCCAAGACCCTCCACGTACATGGATCACAGAAAGAAGGAAAGAAAGTGAAATCGCTCAGTCGTGTCTGACTCTTTGCGACCCCAAGGACTGTAGCCTGCCAGGTTCCTCCGTCCATGGAATTTTCCAGGCAAGAGTACTGAAGTGGGTTGCCATTTCACATTCTTATATTGAAGCCAATGTAAAAGGAAGACATAGCTTCACTTGTCACATTTGGTTTTGCTAAATGCTATAAAGGAAGCCGTCTTACTCAGCACTTATAATAAGCCATCTTATTCAGCACTATGTACTAAGGTGGCCCTAAAGGCACTGCTGCTCTTCCGCGAGTCTGCCTTTTCTCTCTCACTAGTATGAAAAAGTGAAGTGACGGTGTATCAGCTGCTCAGTCATGTCTGGCTCTGAGACCCCATGGACTGTAGCTTGCCAACCTCCTCTGTCTATGGAATTCTCCAGGCGAGAATACTGGAGTGGGTAGCCATTCCCTTCTCCAGGGCATCTTCCCAATTCAGGGACTGAACCCAGGTCTCCTGCATTGTAGGTGGATTTTTTTTTACCATCTGAGCTACCAGGGAAGCCCCTGACTAATATAGACCCTTTCAATCTCATAGTCTCATGATTTCAGGCAATAGTTAAATAGAACCAAAAGTGAATTATAGCACATTTCTGATCCAGTGACTGCATGTGATTGTTTTTAAGAGTTGCCGATGCTGGGTTGATTCAGTTGTGGTACATTGCTTATAAGTTAGGATTAGCTGGACTTAGAAAACTGAGCATTTTAAAATCATAACAATAGCTTTTACAGGCTTAGATTATTAATTAGTTTAAATGTTACTTCTTTCTTTTATTTTCTAGGTGTCTTTGAACTTACATTTCGTTTGCCTTATTTTGCTTATTTATGACACAGGATGGAATAATTTATCAGGCTGTTGTCAGATTAAAGATGGTAAAGATTCAAAAGTCTTTTATGGTCCTTGTAACATAGAAAGTACTTGAAAGGATTAGCTCCCAAGCTGTTTTTCCAGTTGACCTCATGTACTACAGTAATACACCACTAGCAGAGTGCTCATTCTTAGTAAAATTCAATTCAGTGATCACTTGCTGAACACATGCACTAAGGAATGCTAGGCATCGAAGTGGATACAGAGATGTATGGGCTACATCTTCTTCCCTTACGAGGTTTACAGTCAGATAAGTAACGAAGATGAAAACAGAAACAACCCTAACAGAGCATAGAAATATAAATGTATCTTTTATTTACATTAACAGTGATGGTTTTAGACTGATCTTCCCAGCCTTCCCATCTGATATTCATTATTATACATGGCTGCCATTTGTTGACAGCTGGTTGGAATTGGGGGTGTAGTTTGTGGCCATGGAACAGTGGGCTACTTCTAACCAGGGTCATGGTCTTGTTAACATAGTACTTTAACTAGCTGAGCTCATCAGACAGAGACATACAAATTTGCCCCAGAAAATGGTACTTATGATAACCTTGGAGATAAAAGAATATTTATTGAAAGGAGAGAATCAATACGGATTACTGGGTTCCATAAGGAACTGTTTCAAAATCCAATTCAATGTATAATTAAGTAATATCTTTTATGAGTAAGTCACTGTGTTTGGGTATGGAGGAGATTGTAGAGTGAATAAGTCAAGGAAGGCACAGTCTTATTCTCGAGAAACTGACNGTTTCAAAATCCAATTCAATGTATAATTAAGTAATATCTTTTATGAGTAAGTCACTGTGTTTGGGTATGGAGGAGATTGTAGAGTGAATAAGTCAAGGAAGGCACAGTCTTATTCTCGAGAAACTGACAGACTGTTTGTGGGGAGTAGCCTTGAGGGCAGCTAAGGCAGAATATGACAACGCCTTGGGGAAAGTGCTGGGCTCTGGGGCTCGAAGCAGAGAGAATAGATTGGTTGAATGGGTCTATAGAGAGGTCAGGGAAGTGGGGCATTTGAAATAGATGTTGAGGAATCTGAATATACTCGAATATACTCAAGTATATTCGAATGTGCTCGAATATACACGTGAATATACTCAAAATATTGCTTACGCCTTAACATTTATTTATTCAATTTTGCTTACATCTTTCTTGATTTTCTGAAGCTATTTTAAAAATTAACAGTGGTACAAATTACATTATCGTAAAATGCAAACACAGAGTCAAATACCAAAGTCTCCATAACTATGACTCTTATTTCAACTCCTTTCTCCACAGATTGCATTTATGTATTATTCAGAACATTTCCTATTTACTTACGTACATTTGCACTTACACAAATATATGGAAAAAAATTGACTATGTACAAATGTGTTCAGCCCTTGGCTTTTTAAACAATTTAACAGTATGTTTTGCCTTTTCTCATGTCAGTTCTTTTAAATCTATCCCTTTTAGTGGTTGAATGGTTATCTCTAGACCCATGCTGTCCACTATGACGTCCACTAGCCACTGCGGATCTATTTCAACTTAAATTTAAGGTAATTGGAATAAACTAAAGTTTAATATTCAGATCTTCAACTGCACTTACCATATTTCAAGTGTTCAATAACCACATAGATACTGTGCCAGACAGAACAGATTCAGAACATTTCCATCATTGCTAAAGATTCTACTGCATGGAGCTTCTCTTGTGGTTCAGATGGTAAAGAATCTACCTGCTCACGCAGGAGACGTGGGTTCAATCCCTGGGTTGGGAAGAAACCCTGGAAAAGGGAATGGTGACCTACTCCAGTATTCTTGCTTGAAAAATTGAATGGACAAAGGAGTCTGGTGGGCTATAGCCCATGGTGTCACAAAGAGTTGGACACAACTGAGCAATTGATGCTGTCCACTATGACGTCCACTAGCCACTGCGGATCTATTTCAACTTAAATTTAAGGTAATTGGAATAAACTAAAGTTTAATATTCAGATCTTCAACTGCACTTACCATATTTCAAGTGTTCAATAACCACATAGATACTGTGCCAGACAGAACAGATTCAGAACATTTCCATTAAAGATTCTACTGCATGGAGCTTCTCTTGTGGTTCAGATGGTAAAGAATCTACCTGCTCACGCAGGAGATGTGGGTTCAGTCCCTGGGTTGGGAAGAAACCTTGGAAAAGGGAATGGTGAACTACTCCAGTATTCTTGCTTGAAAAATTGAATGGACAAAGGAGTCTGGTGGGCTATAGCCCATGGTGTCACAAAGAGTTGGACACAACTGAGCAATTGCGCACACACACACATACTACTCACTGCATGGAACTACACCACACTACAAATGCCCCAACATTCACTTACACATTCAGTCTCTGCTGAAGAACATTTAGGGTCTTTCCCACTTATCACCATGATAAAAATGCTGCGGTGAACACTTTGAACGCCCATCTTCTATACATGGGGGAAGTTTTGTGTGGAAAAATTTCTAGCGTAGAGATGTCAGGGTGGCGTACATGGATGCTTCAATTTGGATTTTTAGTGCTGAATTTTTTCTTCAAAGTTTGCACTAGTTATATCACTTTAGAACTTACTTGAATGCTATTTTTCAAGTGTTTACCAGCCCTGGAGATTACAAATCTCTACAATTTTGCCACTCTGATGGACAAAGAGAAAAAATCCTGCTTTTTAATTTGAATTTTCTGATTTCTTAGAGAGATTGGGCATTGAAAAATAATTTTAATTGCCTAAAGGAGTGTATGAGAATATTTTTTAAAATAAAACATTGTAATTTCTTACCTGGCTGGTTACAAGTGGCCCAGAAAATAATTTATCTCTACTAACAAAGATCACAAATATCCTGAACTAGACAAATCACACAGTAAGAAACATGAACAGGTAATAAGTACAAGAAAAATGCTAGTTTCTACTAGCACCAGTAGAAATGCAAAGTGTAATGCAATGTGAAAGAAAGAAGTAAAAAGTTAAGTGTATATGCATTGAAATGTAAAGTTTATGTATGCATATATGCATATATTTAAGTTTTATTGACTATAATCTTTCCAGGCACCAAAAAAACAAGCACCTTTGGAGTTTAATATAAAGCATTAAACTTGCTGTTGTTTTCAGTCACTATGTCATGTCCAATTCTCTGTGACCCCATGGACTGCAGCACACCAGGGCCCCCTGTCCTTCACCATCTCCTGGAGTTTGCTCAAATGCATGTCCTTTGAGTCGATGACGTCATCCAATCATCTCATCCCCAGTTGCATCTTCTCCTCCTGCCCTCAATCTTTCCCAGCATCGGGGTCTTTTCCAATGAACTGGCTCTTCCTATCAGGTGGCCTAATTATTAGAGCTTTAGCGTCAGCATCAGTCCTTCCAATGAATATTTGGGGTTGATTTCCTTTAAGATTGACATTAAATAATATTGATGAATTCTCTGAATCAGCAGTGCAGCTAGAATAGTCTTACAGCATGTTCCTTTGGTTAGCTGGTTTTTCTTGGGTGGGAGCATGGATGGGAAGAACCTGTTAGTTTCAGCTAAACTGTAATGACACGTCTCGCTAATGATTAGTTTGAAAAACCTGAGCTGAGAACAGCATGCAGAGAATCGATTGACAGGCAACAGGGCAAACAATCCATAGTTGCTAAGAAACGCTATCCTTAGAAGAACAGCAACGCATTCACCCCCATATGAAAGCCGAGCCCAGATTCACTCCAGGGAACCTGCTCCGTGTGGAAGACGTCAGGCAGCTGTGGTCCTCCCAGCCATGGATACCGCAGAAACAGAATGTAAGATTCTGCAGCAAAGGTGCATAAGAGGAATGAATAAAAAACAACTTTGGAAACCTGTTGAATAAAATCAGTATAATTCGTAGACTGGCTAAAGAGGAAGCTACCTGTCATTGTTAAGCCACAACTATTAGAAACAGTGAGATCCCTGAGATAACTGTATGGCCTTGATTAAGACATAATTAAGTCATGATGCCCACCGGCTTTGGAGGACCAGGCTGGCTGGACAGGTGCTTAGTGGTGTTAAGCAGGGAGTGTAGGGCTGTTGTCATCTTCACTGAACCTCTAGCAAAAGCTAAAGCACCCCTTCCAAAGAAAGGACGTTGTCCCTCATAGGGAGCCAAGAGCTGTGAGAGGATAGAGATGCGGCCTTCAGTTCGAGGCAGAAGGATAACATAGCATGTGGTTAAGTTCACTGAGACTGCCAAGAGTCCATGTCTTATACTGTTGTTTAGTCACTACGTCGTGTCCTACTCTTGGAGACCCTGTGGACTGTAGCCCACCAGTCTCCTGTGTCCATGGGATTTTTCAGGCAAGACTAGTGGAGTGGGGAGCCATTTCCTTCTCCAAGGGATCTTCCCGACCCAGGGATGGAACCCACATCTCCTGCATTTACAGGTGGGTTCTTTAACACTGAGCCACCATGGAAGCCCCTTTCTTATACATCAGCTAATTAAGATTCAGACCCAACACTTAAGATTTGCACAGACATGGGAGAAGATGTTAGGACTTAACAGAAAGCAATCAGACATCTGTGAAGTGAGAGAGTGGGCCAGAGCATGCTGGTCCCCACAGGAGAGAATTCTAGAGGCTGGAGGAGAGGAAGGCAGCTCAAGTGAACAGTGCCTTGAAGCCTGGCTCAGAATACTTCCTCCCGGCCAGGACAGCAGAGCCACAGAAGGACACATGCTTTGGCCATAGAACCTTGATGGATGCAACCCTGTCTCTGCACATGGGGGGAAATGTAAACTAACTATGCTTCAATCAGAAAAATAACCTATTTCAAAAATAATTCTAGGAGCACGTCATATTAGCATGGGTTCCATTATTCTTTAAAGGGTCTTTCTCATCTTTGTAAAGTTATATAGATTTCCCAGATGGCTCAGTGATCAAGAATCTGCCTGTCAATTCAGGAGAAGCAGGAGGCGAGGGTTCAGGTTGGGAAAATCCCCTGGAGGGGGAAATGGCAACCCACTCCAGTATTTCTTGCCTGGAAAATTCCATGGAAGGAGAAGCCTATTGGGCTCCATGGGGAGCCCACAGGATCAGTCCATGGGGTCACAGAGAGTTGGATATGACTTAGCAACTGAGCATGCATGCGAAGATATGTAAATATTTTTAAAACATCTGAAGGATAGTTCTTATCTATGGGTAGGTGGATAGGGTGGACTCCAGTTCAGTTCAGTTCAGTCGCTCAGTCGTGTCTGACTCTTTGCGACCCCATGCAGTGCAGCACTCCAGGCTTCCCTGTCTATCATCAACTCCCAGAGCTTGCTCAAATTCATGTCCATTGACTCAGTGATGCCATCCAACCATTCCATCCTCTGTCATCCCCTTCTCTTCCTGTCTTCAATCTTTCCCAGCATCAGGATCTTTTCCAATGAGTCAGCTCTTCGCATCAGTTGGCCAAAGTATTGGAGTTTCAGCTTCAGCATCAGTCCTTCCAATGAATACTCAGGACTGATCTCCTTTAGAATGGACTGGTTGAATCTTCTTGCAGTCCAAGGGACTCTCAAGAGTCTTCTCCAATACCACAGTTCAAAAGCATCAGTTCTTCAGCACTTCAGCACTTCTTTATGGTCCAACTCTCACATCCATACATGACTACTGGAAAAACCATAGCCTTGACTAGATGAACCTTTGTTGACAAACTAATGTCTCTGTTTTTTAATATGCCATCTAGGTTGGTCATAACTTTCCTTCCAAGGAGTAAGTGTCTTTTAATTTCATTGATGCAATCACCATCTACAGTGATTTTTGGAGCCCAGAAAAATAAACTCAGCCACCGTTTCCCCATCTATTTGCCATGAAGTGACAGGACCAGATGCCATGATCTTAATTTTCTGAATGTTGAATTTTAAGCCAACTTTTTCACTCTCCCCTTTCAT